ATCAGTCTTGTCATACTTCTCAATAATTGTGTTTTTAACAAACCAGATGAAGGCGTGTGTTGAATCATTTACGGATTTGCAGAAGATTGAGAAAGTGTTAAGATCTCTGACTACAGATTTTGATTACATTATAGTGTCAATTGAAGAGTCATCGAATCTTTCTGCGATGAAGTTAGAAGAACTTCAAGCTTCTTTAAAGGCTCATGATATGAGGTTGAAGCATAGAAATTCATAAAGAAAAAAGGTGACTGAACAGGCACTGCAAGGAAGATTCATCAAGAAATCTGGAACAGAGAAGTCGAAGCAGCGAAAGAATATTGCTAATGATGAAAAGTCAAGCAAGAATACTGATTCGACCAAGAAAGGCAGGGGTAACAAGTATTATGGGAAGAAAGTTGACATGAATGAGGTGCAGTGTTACAACTATTAAGGTTTTGGTCACTATGCTCGAGACTGTCGAAGAAAGAAAGAAGCAAGGGCGAAAGGTAGTGATGAAGCTCAATATGCACGAGTTGGAGATAGTGATTATGATGATATGTTGTTGATGGTCAACACACAATCGAATACTGAGCAAACCAACATGTGATACTTGGATTCAACATGTAACAACCACATGACTGGTAATAAAAACTGGTTCATTAATAAGTGCCAAAATGTCATTATTTTGTGTATGTAATTTATTACACTTATCGGTTCTTTTGTTAATATTCTTTGAACAGTTCTCCTCTTTGTGTGTAAATATGTATATTATGTATATAATTGAGTTTTCGATTCATTTGTGTACTGTTTGATAGTTTTAATGTCCTTTTGTAGGTATTGTCGCATATTTGGAGCATCGAGGAATAAGGTGTTGAAGACACGGCTACAGATAGACATTTTTGGACAAAATCAAGAAATAAAATTGCTTCAAGTCGCGCTTAGCACTCTCCCAGTGCGAGTTCTGGGGCAAAGGCAGTGAGTTTGACGCTTAGCGTAGTATTTGGCGCTTAGCGCAATCTGCAATTTAAAGTTTTGTATAAATAACTCAAAACATATTTTTGTTAGGTTTTATCATCAATTTCCCTCATGGAGGAGATCTGATCTGGTTTTTCTGTAGTTTAGTGGTTTATGCAACATCATTGGGTACTACATCTTGTCGATTGGTTATGGGTTGTCTCGAATCGTGTTGACACTGTGACAAGTTTCTTCTTATTCTCTGTCTTCTCTGTGTATCATTCCAATGGTGGGTATTGTATGTATATCTTTACTCTTATTGTATGTACATTTGTTGATCATGGGATTGTATGAAATCTATTTTACAATTTAATATTGATGTTTGTTCTTGAGTTTTGCTTTATCATGGAGTTTTGGTTTATCGTAGACATATGCTTTCCGAATCTCTTTCTTGAATGAATATCTATTAGGTTCTAGTTCTAGACATAGATTTTTGCTTAATATTTATGGGGGTATCGGTTATGAAATGCATCTGTGTTGTTTGAGTTATACGCAAAATCGCCTCTGAGAGCAATATGGGTGATGTCTCACTTTGTGTTAGATATAGCCTTAGTGTGAGTGATACATGATGGTATTGACGAGTGATTTAGGTTGAGTTTAATTGATCGGCGAGTTTAAGTATTTGACATGTAGAGTGAAATGTGATTCCAAAATGAATTCTCTTAGGCTACAGATAATTATTTATCGCTTTCTTTATTGCTTTATTTACTTTTCCCGCACTTTTTCCTACAAACCCAATCCAAACTTAGAGAGATTGAAATTATTTAACAGTAGTTTTTCTCTCTCACTAATCCTTGTGGAGACGATACAATATAACCTATATCACTGTAAAATAAATACTTACTTTTGCTTTCCGCTTTACCACTTCAACATTCACCAAGGTAGATGAATCATTCGAAAAGGTGCATTACTATGGAAAACCCATTTCACAAGGTGGTAAAAAGGGTACCATCATACGGGTCATACTATTGTTAAGTAGGGTGTGGTTGTAAGTTCGATGTTTCTATCACGGTCTAGAATTCGTTATTGAAGGGAAGGACGCGCTCCATTTATCACAACAATTATACTTATCCATCGTTGTGATACTTACACATAGATACTGGGTTCAAAGTCCATCAACACAAATTATATAAATCATAAATCACCTTTGATCACGGTTAAAATATATAACCGTTGTGGAAAGTAGCCAGAGTTTATTATATAATATATAGATTTCTTGTTTTCCATACACCTCGCTAAAGAAATACAAGCTTTCAAATTTATGAAGAAATCTATAATCTGAAAATTAAGCTATTCTTGAAAACCAACTTAAACAAACCATAGTTTTTTCTGATGCATGCATCTCATCTTGCATTTCATGCTCTTTTACATATATATTATGGTTTATTGATCTAAATCCTTCGATACATCGTTATCTTTGATTATAGTTAAATTTCCACAACAACAAGACATTGGATAATCTGCTTCATCATCATCACTTATCATCATAATTTTTATAATCGTAAATTTTACGATCATTACTGTTGATGAAGAGGTTGATTATCTAATAAATTATAGTTAATGAAATTTAACTATAATCTAAGACAACGATGCATCTGTGAAGCCATGTCATTATATCATAATCTATAGGTAAAAGAACATCAAATGAATGATGAGACGCATGCAATTCAGAAACAATGATTGATATAAGGTGGTTTTCAAATACAATTTAATTCTCAGATTATAGTATCTATGTCAATTTAAATGAATGTATTTCAAGTGAGGGTTAGTGAAACAAACAATCTACATAAAATATAATAAACTCAAACAAAATCATACAACATAACCAGATATTATAAATTTGTGAGCAACGAAAAGATATATTATAAATTTCCAGGACGCACCTTTTATTCAAAATAATCGTCGAACATGAATCAATATGAAGTTCATATAGTTTGTGAAGCAATGAGGAATAAATTTAAGGAGGAAGAAGTTTAAACAACAAATTCATACTTAAATTTCTTTTCATTATATCTCAAACTAGATGGAGTCTATTTTCACTTTTGTTTCTTCATTTACTAAAATGTTTTGTTCTTGTTGAGTCCTATAATAACCGTGAAAGTTATCAACATGTGAAAAGAGTATGAAAGTCATCTTGTTTGTGAAATTATGAAGAAGAAGTACAAGGTGGATGAAGTTTCCATCATATCTTAATGCTTCTTGTGCTTTTTTCCATAGCTACACAAACAATATGTACCATATACAAAATAGTGAAGACGAATCTGAAAAGATGAGAACAATCAATAAAAAAACATGTAACAAATGAGATAATGGTGAAGACGGAAGAAGAAGAGTACCATAACATATGAAGCACAAGATTTACGACTAATGGCGAAGAAGAAGAGAAAAGATGGGTGCTAGGGTTTCACTGTGAAGGAAATTGTGCTATTGTCAATAAGTGAGAGCTAACTTGCTTATATATGGGTAAATTTTTCACAACGGTTATCTACCAACCATATTGATAAGTATTTATTTATTATAAATTCACAACGGTGAAAAGAACCAATCATAGTCATAACCCTTTAACTATATTATTTTAAAAAAATTAAAATGAAAAGGTGCGCCTTACCTTTAAAGGAATAATGTATATGAGGTCGCTGATGTTCTAACCTATGAAGACTTGATGGTATCACCATGGTTGGATCCAAAACCGCTGTTATATACAATTAATTTTTAATCAAAAAACAAAAATAATATGCTAGAGCCTTAGTTTAAAGATGTCGCCATGATGTAGGGAAGAATCGTGGTGACCATGTCATTGTTGTTTACGCATTTTGTAGTAATGGTGATATAGTTTTCATATGGCATATGTTATACCCCAATTTTCCCCCCTAAGATTTATCATCATCTCACTTTTATCAATACATCAAGATCACACATTAGGGTTGGTTCTCTCTTTCTACTTTATCCTATCTTTAAGTTTGCTCTCGTGGGATTACCCAACACCTTGAATTGTGTATCTTGTACATATGTTCTTTTAACTAACATTAATATGTGTATATATGTTACTTTAAATGTTCATATTGCAGGTGATCACAATTGCGTTCATCTCACCATTTAATCTAGGATTTGAGGGGTGATTCTTAATCAAATGGTTCTCTAATGGATTGCAAGAGCTCAATCTTCAAGGTCATGTCTATGGCATCAACGATTTGTGGTTCAAGGAGCTCTCTCACTTTATTTAGGTCAAGATCTCCCCAAAGTTGGTGGTGGAATTCATCAAGAAGATTCATAGGTTCATGTGTTTATTTCCATGCCTTCTTCAACAAGCTTCATTGAGACTTAAGCTCCATCTTTTAGTGTGCTTCAAGACAACATCATTTCAAGGGATCTTATGCATGGGTTTTGGTTACTGAAACGAGTAATGTCTTTCTTGACAAAATTCTTGAAGCATTGTGGGTATCTTCTCAATAAGCTTTCAATCATCATCTAGGATCATCAAGAGTCTATTACTTCAAATATGTGAGCAACTCCATCAAGATTTGTCAAGACTTATCTTCACCATTGCAAGGGGTCCATTATGACTAAAGTTTGTTTGTTCCTAATTGTTCGTTTCTTACCAATTGAGGCTGGTTTGTAATTTGAAAATTGAAGAGTCATTTGATAAGTTTAGACATGATGAGTTTGTGAAGAAAGTTGAAAATTGATTTTGTTTTCAAACATCATTTTCAAGGCAATTCAAGTGATTCCTCTCATAATTCTAAATACACCAGTCAAGGTTATTATAAACTTGGTTGCAATTCTTTCAAATTCTACAAGTTTCATAATGTTTTAACAAGGAATTCAAGTGCAAATTTCATTTAATTGTACATGTTTTCTCACAAAGCTTACAAAGAAAATTTCAATGTTTCAAGTTTGTTTACAAAATTCTTTTCAACATAATCAAATTCAAAGTTACATAAAGGTTGCCATTAAAAGAATTCAAGTAATTACAACAATTCAAGATTTTCCTAAGTCTAAATATTTCCATGCTCTTGAGTTTGATTCTTCTAAGACTTCTTCTTCTTCAAGCTTCGCTCCATGCTCAATTCTTTTCTAAGTCAGGCCACAAATTCTTCTTCTTCTTGCCATGGACCAATCATATTTCTCTCATCCTCCATCACATGAAACAAGGAAAAGAAAACACAAATTTGTTAGCAAGCAATCATAAAAAAGACATGAACAAGAATTATTAAGCAATAAGTTTTCAAGCAAGTTTCTTTTCAATTTCATCATAAGGGTTCAAGCAAGGAATCAGAATTAGGAATTACATTCAGTCATGTTCACAAGCTCAACAATCAAAAGCCTCATTTTTATTTTATTCTCAAACAACAAAATCAGAATTACAATAATCTTAGGCCCAACTCACAATTACTACAAATAACAAAAGTTAAATTTTGGTTCACAGTAAAAGGGACAATTTACTACTCAGTACAACTCAGAAAAAGCATCACTGCATACAAAATCAGAGCCCAACAAGCAAATTATTGCAACAAACAGATTCACGAGGCCTCATACAGTTTGTTTCACACATAATCATAATTTTAATTAAATCATGGGCCTAAGTCTATTGCAAATCACAAACAAAGTTGGTTCACAAAAGACAAAATCACAAAAGAGCATCACATTCTGCCAAGTACGGAATTCAAATTCCAGCCCAATACCAGAATCACAACATATCAAAAACAGAAATAACATATCAACGTTAAGCCAAAAAATGCAAGCAGGCTTGGTACCAAAACTCAAAGTAAAAATTAAATTGATATTCCAGCTCAGCAAAAACTTCTCAAGCAAGTTAAAACTCAGATACAATCCTTACCCTCCAATCCTTGTGACAAACTTTAGCATTCAAAGGCCAAGATTGTCTCAATCCCTAACTATTTTTCTCAGCTATAACATATTATATAATAGATTCATACCTTGCAATCACGTTCATTCTTCAATCATTAGCAGAATCACCAAAAGGAGCTCTCATATTCGCTCTGATTTCTTCTTTAATCTTCAACCAAAGATTCTCTCTGCATAAAAGCTTCTCTTCAATTGCTTCATACTCCTTGAATCTTCATCAACATCAACTCCACTCTCAATACTACATCATCATGTATTTTCATCAACACCATGACATACATCTTTATCATCAAATCTTCATCCTCAACTTGATTCTCAACCATCTCAGAACAACAGTAACAAAATTTTAGAGATTCAAATAAGAGAAGAAGAAGAACAAATCGCAACGATCAGAAGAGTAAAAAGCTCAAAGACAGAAAGAAATCACCGTAAAGACGCCGTAGCACGAAGATCCGACCACCACAGTTCCTTCATTCTCTCGAACTCTCTTTCGTTCTCTCCAACTCTCTTTCGTTCCTCTTTCTTTTTGTTTTCCTTGATTTACGCCTTTTTCCTCATAGATCATTGATATTTGGTTGTTTTTGAAGAGTTAGGGTTTTAATCTTCCCTTTCAGATCTACGTGAAATCATTCATTTCCTGCAACAATCAACCACAAATTAGTTTTCAAGAGGAAGAGATGAAGAGAACGGTGACAGAAGATTGAAGATTGACACATTTTAAGGCGTCGTCGCCGCTGCCTCCGCCGAAAGGCGATTTCTGGTGCGGTGGTCTTCTTCTCCAGCGAGCTCCAAGGGAAGAGAGAAAGAGAAATATCTAAGAGAGAGATGTTAATCTATTTTTGTTTTAATTTTGATTAATGTTTCATTTTTGTTAATTAAGGTTTATTTAGAATTACTAATCCGACAGTGACACTTGTCACTGCCCTTGTGGCTATTGGTTAATTATGTGCAAGTACCTCACCATAACCACTATGGTCTCTCTCATCATCACCATCAGTTCGTCCCTTATCATCATCCAACTCTCTAGGATCGTGCCTCCACGGTGGACCCTCAGAAGCTGCAGTCATCAGATCATCTGATCTCGCCTGCGCCTGCTCATCAATCATGTGATGCTCCCTCAGTTCTAAGCCATCAGATCTTTCCAGATCCGATCTAGTGCTCTAGATGTGCACCTCCATCGTGAAATCCATAAGAATGTAACACATTAGATCCAGTGAATCCCCCCTCATGTTGTGCCTGGGGCCCATCTCCTTTCAGCACCCCCTGTTTACTTTTTTTCTGGCCCATTTAAATTTTGTTTACTATTTTCTTTACATGTTATTTTTATTATTTCATTTTTAATTGAAGATAATATAATATAACAAAAATATATGTTTGCTTTAAATAAATGATTATATTAAAAAATTATATTTAATATTATTAAATATTTTTTTAATTAATTTTATTAAATAAAATGATTTAGTTTAATTAGTTATTTAATTAATTTTGACTGGGTTGTATTGTTTGTTTATTTAGACTTTTAATCATATTATTGATTCGTTACATCCCCTCCATCTTCATCTTATCTCTTTCTTACTTGTGCTACATGTTATTGGAGAATACTCTACATATTATTTCTCTAACATGTAGTACATAGATTGCTATTGAGTGACCTCAAAATAGGTGTGACTTCTTCATAAGTCCACTTACGACTGCTTAACATAGCGCTAAATTTTTCCTGATTCGAGAAATGATCATTCGTGGCCCAAATCTATGTTTGCAAACCCAATTATGTTTAATTTGAAACCTTTGATCTAATAACTGAAGAAGTGAAAAACACAAGAAAGGGGGGTGATTGAATTGAAACTTAAAAATCAAATGCAAATGACACGATGATTTTTATCCTGGTTCGTTTGATCTCAAACTAGTCCAGCTCATCCGCCAAGGTGATTTCGCCTCTCCCCAATGAGGTTTTAATTCACTAATCAAAATTGATTACAATTCTACTTCGACACCTGGCAAAGTCTTCTTGAGTACAACCACAACCCGATTTATCTCAAGGAAATTCACTAATCAAAAGAAGAAATAATATGTGTACTAGTTGTTTTTCGTTACAAAAACTGTATCACAAACTTGTGATGTATTACACAATTTTAGAGAATAGTATGAATATAATCTGCAACGTTGAGAGATTGTATGAAGCAGTTGTGTAAATCGTAAATGATTTAGCCTTGATGCTTGTTTAAATAGGTGTGGTAATCTGTGCAAATGGAAACTTGATAATTGGCACTTAATGTACTTTCTATAATATGAAGACCCTTGTCTGTTTGTAGCCGTTGTAATTGATACTTCTTTGATGGAAAATTAATGCTTAAGAACATAAGGAACTTGCTTGCTGCTTTGCCTCAGAACTTGGGAAGTCAGAATCATAAGGTTCTGTTTGCACGTTAGACTTCTGTTCAGAATTAAGATGTCTTTCTCTTTAGCGCAAATTCTGATCTTCATTCTTCAGAACATTTTGATATCAGTCTGATTACTCAGCTTGAGCACCTTTGTAGCTTAACTTCTGATCCACTTCTGTCAGAACTTTTGTACACAATAGAACACAAATATAGAGTGCATATTTGTTCTTTGTGTTTGTTATCATCAAAACTCTTACGAGGGTTGTAGAATCAAACTATGTTCTAACAAACTCCCCCTTTTTGATGATGACAAAAACTAGGATTTTTCAATAAAAATAGACAGAACAAGAATCTAAAGAGATTCTCCCCCTGAGTTGAGTATTTCCCTGAAGTTTATTCTCATCAGAGCTTTTGATGCATCTCCTTCTGTCTTTATCAGAGTTTTGTTCCCGTTATGCTTTCAGAAAAAATAAGAAGTTAAGATATTCAGAATGTTTGAGAATTTGTTCCGGTATACTATTATTGAAAATATCTTACGTTCTCTCCCTTTTTGTCAGGAATCAAAAAGCAATATAATCACAAATAATCAGAGCCAAAAAGGATGATTTATATTAAAACAAATTTCAATAACATTTCTCAGAAGCAAATAAGACAAGTTAATGAATGCAGAAAACAAGTTAAAAAATCTAAGATGGAGGGGGTAGTCGTGTGAACAACTCTTCCAGCAAGCTCTTAATATGAGTTCTTGATTCTTCTTTCTTTCCCATCATATCCTTGATTTCTTTGGTTGTGTATTCTTGCTTATCCAATCTTGTGTGGATTATAATATTCTCCTTCTTTAACTCTTCCAGAGTTTTTATGACCAGAGATGGAGGTGGTGTTTCCTCAGAGGATGTATGTCTTTCAGAATACTCTGCAGCATCTTCTGATTCAATTGCTTCTTCAGTTTCATTTTCCTTTTCTTGAACAATATCCAGAGGGTGACTATCAGAACATGGTTCATTGACTTCTGAAGGTTGGTTCTCTTTCCAAGGAGCATTGTCCAGCAGAAGAATTTCTTTCTTTTACCAGTGACTCAGAACTTGGTCTTTGAAAGCTTTCAGCTGATCACTGAAGTTCTGCTGAGCCATTTCATAACTTAATTCTTTTAGCCTCTGGTATTCATAGTTGAACCATTTTATGAATCGATCCCAATGAGAATTAAAAGCAGCAGGATTTGAATTTTCTAGACTTGCTTGCTTTAAAGGCTTAACCCATTCCATTATTTCTGTTTCAAAAATCAACAAGTTCTTACCAACATCTGTTTTGGTTATGGTTGGTTTGGGTTTGGGAATGGAAATTTTATTGGAGGTTGAAGCTATGTGGTCCAACGCTTCTAAATTAATGATTGTTCTGAGATGATCAGCTGGACGGTTAATGGGAGAGAGAGTAGGAGAATCAAAAATTATGATTGGTGAACGGGGTGTGTTTGGTGGTGTGGAATGATAGGGTGAAGGTATTTCTGGAATGTCTAATATGGAGAGAGGTTGACGAACCATAAGAGGTTCTGTTATTCCAGGAATAGGGGTAGTGGTATCAGAGTCTGTAAAAGAATCTTCTGATTGGTTTGCGGTAGCGTGTTAATTTTCTGGTTCAGGGGTTTCAAAGTTTGGATTTTTAGTTTGGGGAGTGTGAGGGTTTTCATTTTCTGGTTGAGGAGAATGGAGGTTTTGAAGTTCTGGTTGTGGAGTATGGAGGTTTGGATTTTCTGAGATAGGTGATTGAAAGTCTTGATCAAATAGTTCAATATCAGAAAGAACTCTTGCAAGTTCTGGATGATTTTGTTCTAGATTTGGATTGGGGGAGTGAGGTTCATTTAGGAAGTTGCCAAGGGTTACGGAAGGATAAAAATCTATGTCAAAATCCTCAAAAGTTTGAGGTGAGGGATCTTCTGTTGGTTGAGAGGGGATGGTTTCAGATGTTGGAAAAATTATTGATTCTACTACAGAAACAAAGGAATTGTTACCTTTCTTTTTAGAAGCTTTGGGTGTCCTCTGAGGGGATCCTTCTCCTTCTGCCTTTCTCTTTCTGGATTTCTTTAATGCAACATCTGGAGCTGGCTTGTGCAGATCACGAATGTTAAGTTCTAGATCTGTTCCATCTTCCTTGCAAGCTTCTAGGTATCTGACCATAATCTCTGGTGAAACATCAATCTCAGAAAATAACGGAAAATATTTCAGAGGGATTCTCCTTGATGTGATGACTTCACGAGTAGCAATTGTTGGTTCCTTCTTAATGTTATCAATAATCTTCATCTTCTTCAGATTTTTGGCATTAAGAGGTTTACCAGCACATGCCTCCAGTGTACTGATCTGGTGAGCTTCTGTCAGATGCTGTATCAACCTGTTCTCCGTCATGATATCAGATATTAATCTACCCAGAGGAATCCAATCCCTCTTTGTCCTTTCTTCTTCCCTTGTTTCTTTCACGCTTGTTCTCATATGATTGAAGAGCAAGTGTGGAAGATTTATTTTAGTCTTCTTTGAAATAAAATATAATAGAAACCGTTGATTGATGTTGATGAATTCAGGAGAGCTTGTTGGCTTCCTGTGGTTTATACATCCCAGAATGATCCTGGCCCAGATTCTGTAGTAATCCTTCAAATCCCTTATCTTGCTGGATGGCTATCCAGAAGTAAAAATAACTCTAGCAATGGTTTTTAGGTCAGAACACTTTTCATCCATGTCGCTGCACCTAACTCCGCCGCCATTGTACCCAATTAGTTTTCCAATCAAGTCTTTTGTAATAACAATCTTCTTCCCCATTACGTAAGATGTAACTTGATGATTAGATGAAGTTGCGTGAATCCAAAATTCCTTTACAAGAATGGGGAATACTGGACCTAGCAAATAATCAAAGTACCTATTCTAGCCTTGAGCCGTTACATCTTTAGACAAATCAAAGCCATTTTCCTTTAAGCTTTCAAAACTGATGATTAACTCACATAAAACTTCAAGAGAATCAACTAGAGTGAGCAAAGTTCTTATGGGTTCCTCATAATGTTCATCCGTTGAAGAAGAACCAGGAACACTTTGAAGATTTTTTATGCTTGAGGAAGATGCCATTGTTCACACAGTTTGTTTTGAGATTTCTGAGAAAAGGGTTTTTGCGAAAGGAAAGAGTAGAGAAAATAATAGATGCGAGAAGA